CTAAAGGAAGATATTTATGCATTGTGCAAAGAATCAAGAGTGACAACAATTGCAAAATATTGAAAATAGGTCTGCCGAAATACTTGTACTTGATTGCAATAAAATATGTGATGTAGATACACTAGAAAAGAAAATACCTTCATATAATAGTTATAAAACCCCTCATCATCAGTGGCACGCCAGTGGAGAGAGTGGACAGTTTCCGATACCTGGGTGTCCACATCACTCAGGACCTGTCATGGTCCTGCCACATCAACTCCCTGGTTAAGAAAGCCCGTCAGCGTCTCTTCTTCCTCAGAAGACTTAGATACTTCCATCTGCCACTGAAGGTGCTCAAGAACTTTTACTCCTGCACCATCGAGAGCGTCCTGACGGCAAACATCTGCACCTGGTTTGGGAACAGCACCAAGCAGGACAGACGAGATCTGCAAAGAGTGGTGCGCTCAGCCGAACGCATCATTCAATCAGAGCTCCCTGACCTGCTGCCCATCTACACCAAGCGGTGCAAGTCCAAAGCTAGGAAGATTATGATGGACCTCTCCCATCCCAACAATGGACTCTTCTCACTGTTGAGGTCTGGGAAGCGCTTCCGCTCCCTTAAGGCCAAAACAGAGAGAATGAGGAGGAGCTTCTTCCCCCAGGCTATTCGGGCCCTGAACCAGGTGTAGGACTGGACTCTCCACACACGTCACTATAAGACTGGACTCTCACACACATCACCACACGCACCACCACACATTTCCTATAATCCTATAATTCCTATAATTTATAATCTTTATAATCTTTATAATCTCTTCTGCTATTTGCACATTCTTTACTGTAAATTCCTAAGTTAATTTGTAAATTTTGTAGTAAACTGTAAATTGTAAATATTGTAAAACTTTTCTTCTGTCATTTAATGGTCGGGCATTGTACAGCTACAAGCATTTCACCCCCATGTCATACTGTGTATGGTTGTGTGTGTGTGACAAATAAAATTTGAATTTGAATTTGAATTTGATTTGAATTTGATTTGAATTTGAAACCCATATAAAATATAAACCCATGCTTGTGGAACTATCTTGTGTATACTGAAAGTTAATGTCTCAAAACTGTTTCACTTTTAAGCTGACAAGCAGAACACTCTCTTCCTTGTTGCAACAGCTTTAGCCCTTGGCAGTTTTGAAACATCCTGTGGTTAAACAGCCAATACCCACATTTAAAAACAAAAACTGAAGAGTGTAAATTCTCGTCACAGTATCTATGCTAAACACAATCCAAAGAAGGAGGCTACAAATCACTGAAAATGAGAATTACCTGATTTCAGTGAATTAAGCACAATGAAATGTAGAAAGCACTCTGCTGAATCCTTTTTCTTACCATAAAAGGACCATTTGAAAACAGCTGTAAACTGCTGTTGAAAGGGCAGCTGGTAGGTGGAAAGTGTTCACATTTACCCACTGCTGTGACTCATTCACAAAAAAATGTTAAAAGAGACACAATCATCTCCAATAGCTTATTTTAGGCATAATAAATATTTCCAGAGGGGAAAAGAAGGTGTAAATGTCATGACAGTCTCTTGCTGCAGCTATGAGAACTATATTTGTGACAAAATTATATTCGTAAGCCCACTCTCTGTGTAAACTGAGCATATGACAGAATGTGATGCACCTTTTGAACTGTGAACTGCACTTCAGCTGGGACAAAGTTAACTGGAAAAAGAGCTGCTTGTGTGTCAGCACGGCTTTAGTTCTGTGGTGTTGATGCTCTTCATCTGATTTGACTGTTGCGTTCTGCTAGATGTCGGTCTGTGGAGGTCTATTCAGGCCAAAATTATGTTTACACCATTTACTATGAGCTTCAGTTAGTCTGAATGTGTCTTTCGGCTACGCGCTTCTGTGTGCCTGTTGTCACTTGACAGCGCTGTTCTGTTTGCTGTGTGCACAATTACATTCAGGACTACACAGCACACTCAGAGGGGAAGATGCATGTCAAGATAACAGATTCACAAAGAGAAACAATTTTTCTTCAGTGTAGAAAAATATTTCTACTATGCAGCTCGTCACAATTGAAGTCAAAGTTGAAAGGAGTTAGAGAAAGCAGGTTGAATACAACACATAGTGTTTATGTAAGAAGGACAATTTCAATTCTTAACAATTCATGTAGTGAGTTATTCACATCATGAGACACTCTGTGCCTTCATTGAATATATAGTAAATGGTAAATGGCCTGTATTTATATAGCTCCTAAGACCCCAAAGCACTTTACATATCCAGTCATCACAACCACTGGTGATAGGCAAGCTACATGTAGCCACACCACCCTGGGGCGCACTGATAGAGCGAGGCTGCCGGACACTGGCGCCACCCCGGCCCTTGACCACCACCAGTAGGCAATGGTGAAGTCTTGCACCAAACCAACGACGAAGACTTTGCCGGCTTGAACCGGCAACCCTTCCGATACAAGGCGAACTCCCAACTCTTGAGCCACGATCGCCCGCAACACTATAGTGTAGTTAGGTACTCAATTCTAATTAAGACTGGGGCGGTGTACCTTCTAAAAAGGACCTTAGCAAAGATCCAAACAGAAGAACTGATATTATACTCTTGTTTTAACTTTATATCAGCTACTGAAAGCAGTCCTTCCTCTGTGAAACCAATCAGAATTAGCTAATAAAAAAAAAATAAAAAGACTTTAAGGCAACATTATTTCTGTTATTGAACCCTTTTTCCTTCCTGCGGTGAGTCATGGATGTCTAACCATTTCAAAATCCCACTGTTGCACCTCCATTCACCACATTCATTTCACTTCTCATTAAAAGCAATGTTGCAATGTCTATGGGTCAAGATCTAGACCCCACTGCGAGGTGGGGTAGAGTGAGGGGGATCTTCCCTGAAAAGCTAAAAGTCTCACTGCCTTCAGAAAAGGATGATGCCATAATGGATGGTCTAACAGCAAAAAACACCCTGTTTTTACAATTTTTTCAAATGTAATTTTTTTGTACTATAACCTGTTCATTCCTATTGTAATGTAATCAAAAGGTGAATATTTGTAGTTGTTCAGAGTCCCACTAAGTATTCTGAGAGGGGTTTGTAACGTACACCGGGCATCCACATTAACACAGTGGGACAGACGGCTCCTCTGCAGATTCTGTATACAGAATATAATAATAATAATAATAATAATAATTTATACTTTATATAAATATATATATATATATACTGTACATATATAGAGGGCATGGATGGCATGTACGATCTACTGTACAATGTAAAGCACCTTGAGGTGACTGTTGTTGTGATTTGGTGCTAAATAAAATTGAATTGAATTGAATTGAATGAAAGTATACTCTGCGTATGTATATGTGAGTATATTTGAGTATTAATGTGTAATAGGATACTGCTTAGCAGTGTACTTAGCAGTGCGGTATGATGTGCCTGGAGCACCTCATATCACCTCACCTCACTAGTGAACAAAACCCCGAGATACTTAAACTCCTCCACTTAGGGCAGGAACTTGTCCCTGACCCAGAGTGGGCACTCCACACTTTTCCCTCTGAGGCTCATGACCTCAGATGTGGAGGTGCTGATTCTCATTCCCACCGCTTCACACTTGGCTGCGAACTGTTCCAGTGCAAGCTGGAGGACAAACTACAAGACAAAATACAGAATTACTATATAATATATACAAAGATGGAAGAATTAAGGATATATAGGTATAACATGCATGTTGCATGGTGTGTGTAATGTTCGTGGTGACTTAGTGACTTAGTGGTTTGTGGCTAAAGGGCTTCCTGTTTGTCATCACACTGACAGGCCAGAGGAGAGGACTAGGCCACTTCCGTTTGGTAGACTTTAAACTACACACTACATACATAAAGACTCTTATTTAGAGTCTTTATGAATATGAAAAGAAACAACTTCCATTTGTTATCACTTAACAGTAGAAGTGTGTATTGTTGTTTAACGTTCATGAAAGTTCCCCAATAGCGCTACAGTTTCAAGGGGACTCATATACAGACTATCTTGAACTTTGCTGCACTATGATTGTATGCTATGGAATTTACTCTTCACCTTCTGTTGTACGACACTTTTTGTTCAAATGGATCAGAAACATGTTAGTAAGAACACGTTACCCTAAAACTACCTAGTCTGGTATGATGTTTTGAAAAATGCAAATCAGTATTACAGTAAACTCACTGGATTTCCAATTCAATTCAAACCCCAACAATCACGTAAGCCCCTATGAGCAAGCGCTTTGGCGACAGTGGGAAGGAAAAACTCTTTTAAACAGGAAGAAACCTCCAGCAGAAGTAGGGCCAGTAACACTGCACTCTCTGTGTTTCCAGTTTTTGCACCTTTGGATCAACATTAACTCGCCTCTGTTAAGAACCAGATTTCCTCTGATGCTGATCCTCCTCCCTGTCTCACTGCCTGTCAGAAACTTACCTGCCAACTACTGTTCCTCTTACCTCAGGTCTTCGTGGAATACGTGGAATAAGTCTGAAATCTCCGTCTGCCCTTCTGGTTGCTGCAACATACCTTAGGTCTGGAAATGGAAAGGAAAGGTCAAACATCTCGTTCTACAAGTTCCATCTCTTAGCCACTCACTAGGGG